TTCCTCAATGCCGTCCCTTCTCTTCTACTACTAATTCCTCAATGCCGTCCCTTCTCTTCTACTACTAATTCCTCAATGCCGTCCCTTCTCTTCTACTACTATTCCTCAATGCCGTCCCTTCTCTTCTACTACTAATTCCCTCAATGCCGTCCCTTCTCTTCTACTACTAATTCCTCAATGCCGTCCCTTCTCTTCTACTAATTCCTCAATGCCGTCCCTCAATTCCGTCCCTTCTTCTCTCTACTACTAATTCCTCAATGCCGTCCCTTCTCTTCTACTACTAATTCCTCAATGCCGTCCCTTCTCTTCTACTACTAATTCCTCAATGCCGTCCCTTCTCTTCTGCTACTAATTCCTCAATGCCGTCCCTTCTCTTCTGCTACTAATTCCTCAATGCCCGTCCCTTCTCTTCTACTACTAATTCCTCAATGCCGTCCCTTCTCTTCTACTACTAATTCCTCAATGCCGTCCCTTCTCTTCTCTAATTCCTCAATGCTCCCTTCTCTTCTACTACTTCCTCAATGCCGTCCCTTCTTCTCTTCTAATGCTACTAACTTCCTCAATGCCGTCCCTTCTCTTCTACTACTAATTCCTCAATGCCGTCCCTTCTCTTCTACTACTAATTCCTCAATGCCGTCCCTTCTCTTCTACTACTAATCCTCAATGCCGTCCCTTCTCTTCTACTACTAATTCCTCAATGCCGTCCCTTCTCTTCTACTACTAATTCCTCAATGCCGTCCCTTCTCTTCTACTACTAATTCCTCAATGCCGTCCCTTCTCTTCTCACTACTAATTTCCTCAATGCCGTCCCTTCTCTTTTCTACTACTAATTCCTCAATGCCGTCCCTTCTCTTCTGCTACTAATTCCTCAATGCCGTCCCTTCTCTTCTACTACTAATTCCTCAATGCCGTCCCTTCTCTTCTACTACTAATTCCTCAATGCCGTCCCTTCTCTTCTGCTACTAATTCCTCAATGCCGTCCCTTCTCTTCTACTACTAATTCCTCAATGCCGTCCCTTCTCTTCTACTAATTCTCAATGCCGTCCCTTCTCTTCTACTACTAATTCCTCAATGCCGTCCCTTCTCTTCTACTACTAATTCCTCAATGCCGTCCCTTCTCTTCTACTACTAATTCCTCAATGCCGTCCCTTCTCTTCTACTACTAATTCCTCAATGCCGTCCCTTCTCTTCTACTACTAATGCCGTCCCTTCTCTTCTAATGCCGTCCCTTCTCTTCTACTACTAATTCCTCAATGCCGTCCCTTCTCTTTCTAATGCTCCCTTCTCTTTCTACTACTAATTCCTCAATGCCGTCCCTTCTCTTCTACTACTAATTCCTCAATGCCGTCCTCTAATGCCTCAATGTCCCTTCTCTTCTGCTAATAATCCTAATGCCGTCCCTCACTAATGCCGCCCCTTCCCTTCTCTTCTACTACTAATTCCTCAATGCCGTCCTTTCTCTTCTACTACTAATTCCTCAATGCCGTCCCTTCTCTTCTGCTGCTACTAATTCCTCAATGCCGTCCCCTACAACCTCCAATCTCTGGCAGAGATAATCTATTAGCGCACATTCTGTATACCTTTGCAAAGCATCGTGGGATTTTCGAGCTCTCTTAGGAGTTTCCTCCTCACCATTCTGGACACCTTAATAATATACCTGAGTCCTTTTCACCGATATGATTTCGTACCATAGAAACAAAAATTGCCTTTTTGATAAATAAATTTATGTACAAAATGTATATTAACCCTTGCCTACCAGGTACTTATACCCCCTTATTTACCAGGCCAATTTTCAGCTTTCAGCGCTGCCGCACTTTGATTGACAATTGCGCGGTCATGCAACATTGTACCCATATGAAATTTTGATCATTTTTTTCTCACAAATAGAGCTTTCTTTTGGTGGTATTTAATCGCCACTGGGGCGCTTACTTTTTGCGCTATAAATAAAAAAAGTGCAAAAAATTTGAAAAAAAAAAAAAATTTCTTTTTTTCTATTATAAAATTTTTCAAACAGGTATTTTTTCTTAACTGATGTGCGTTGATGAGGCAGCACTGATGGGCACTGATAGGCGGCACTGATAGGCAGCACTAAAGGGCACTGATAGGCAGTACTAATATGCAGCACTGATAGGCGGCACTGATAGGTGACACTGATGATGGGTACTGATAGACGGCACTGACTGGCATCACTGCTGGGCACTGACTGATGCACAACCGGCTGGGGCACTGACTGGTGGCACTGACTAGCAGCACTGCTGGGCTGCACTGGTGGGTGGCACTGGTGGGCAGCACTGGTGTGTGGGCACAGGTGGGTGGCACTGCTGGGCACAGGTGGGTGGCACTGCTGGGCACAGGTGGGTGGCACTGCTGGGCACAGGTGTGTGACACTGCAGAGTGGCACAGGTGGGTGCACTGCTGGGCACAGGTGGGGATCTGCTGGGCACAGGTGGGCGGAGCTAATGGGCACACTGCTGGGCACAGGTGGGTGGCACTGCTGGGCACCAATCACCAGGGCACTGATCATCGGTGCCCTGAAGATCGGTGCCGATCCTCGCTCTGACAACTGCCGGTTCTCGGCAGTACTTTCCTCACGATCTGACAGCGTGAGGAAAGTGCAGCCGAGAACCGGCACTTGCATTTCCCTGTGATCAGTGTGTCATTGGACACCGCTGATCACGTGGTAAAAGGCCGCTGTGATTGGCCTTTTACCACATCACGTGATCAGCTGTGTCCATAGGAGCGCAGGAGGGCGCGTTCTGGGAGGACGTCATATGACGTCCACCCAGAACTGGCAGGCCCCAGTGCAGCCGTCATTCGGCTATCTGCGGTCGGCAACTAGTTAATAGAAAAACGCAGAATCCTGGTGATAAATGTATACTTGTACATACAATCAGACATGTGATCGGTAATTTCTATGTTATCACACAATAGATGATTATATATATAATAGAAAACGCAGAATCCTGGTGCGTAATGTATACTTGTACATACAATCAGACATGTGATCGGTAATTTCTATGTTATCACACAATAGATGATTACAGATGACGGGATATATAGGAAAAAACCAAATTTCGGTATAAGTTGTCACCTTTATAGTGCCTCAGAAATGATTTCTCATATTCCGTGGCCATAGGAACAGAAGAAAGTATTCTGTGATAACTCGCACTACAACAAAACTACAAATCAGTAAATCTGCAATATATACTCTCAATACCAAATCAAACAATTATTAGTGATCATTACGTATGTATGACCTTAATATTCCTAAACACACAATAAATGTTATAATCTTAGAAAATTGGAAATAACCAAAGAAAATGATACTCTAGCAGTCTCAGCACTCCCAGAATCTTGAGTTTGAGGTTTCCCCAGTGGGGTGCAGTTGGGCCTTCAAATGGTCCTGAAGACACAATGGCAGCTGGAAGTCCTTCAGCAAGATGGCTGCAGGTAACAAGTGAGGGATGGTGCAGTAGGTGTTAGTAATAGGATACATGAGATATATTGGACATTGGAGGAGTCTTGATTGTAGTGTTTAGGGTAGAGTGTAGCTATAATGAGTCACGTAGATCAGAAGGAGGAGTTCAGTCTAGTCATAGACGTGTTGATAGAGAAGTCTAGATCACAAGTGTCATAGAAGAAGTTCAGAGGTTCGGAAGTTTAGCAGAAGATTTGAAGTGTCTAAGTCTTGAAGTCCTTGAAGTGTTGAAGTCTGAGGTGTTTGGCACTTTTATACCATATACAATCCTTTGTTTCAAGGGACCCTCCCACCAGGCTTGTTGATTGGCCGGTGGAGAAGTGTGCGTACCTAGAGACATTTCTCACCTGTCCACTGGGGACAGTCAGGTATCACAAATATTGGTGTCTTAATGATGAGTTATAATTTGATGGAAACCAAAATGTCTTTAGGTAACAAATATAAATATATATTCCAGTCCAGGTGATCTCACTACTAATTCTTGGACAAGGACCATACAAAGATGGAAATACATTCGCTTTCTCATTTCCCTGATATTTAATCTGTTTTGGAATAGCTGATTTCTTTGGAAATGTACAATTGACCCCAATTCACAAATCTTCTTCATCATTTCACACTTTCATTGAGTGGGATGCAATACCTAACCTTCTGAAAGATATTTTCCCTTGATAAAGTGTCAGTAATCTGCCTTTTGATCAGGTCTCTGTTGGTATCAAACTTTATATTTCCAATGTCCCGGCTCTCAGCGCAAGGGTCACATGACTGGGAAACCCTTTATTGACCTGCCCTATGGTGTAGGAATTGGGGGGAATAGACCAGACAGGAATTAATCCTCAGGATTCAATAGTATATTGTGACATTTCCAGGAGTCTGTTTGTTCATCACACTTTCCAAGGTATTGTGTGAGCTTTCAGACAATCAGGTTTGGTTCCCCACTTCCAGACCTCGTATATGTTCTCCTGCAGACCTCCCAGTAGTGGTGGGACCCCCTATAATGAAGTCTCCTGGCTTCCATAGACAATGGGACTTGTTTAGATGACATACACCTGCAAGGTCTTAGAATGACCACAATCACATCCCACCCACCGTTGTCTTTTCTGGGACTTTGTTTCATCACCTGTAGAAGGTCACATAGTGATCTTGGTTGGGAACACGTTCTTCCACTCATTGTGTGTGTGTGTGTAGTAATCTCTGGAAATATCCCATGAAATTCCCCCGAGAATGTTACCCCTGACAGTCAGCCGGGATTTACAATTTTGGGATAATATCATTTTCCTAATAACCATTCTCCCAAAAGTCACTACAGTAGGAGGTCAGAGGAGCCATTTCCTAGTTCCCTTGAGGGTGGACTTGTAAGCTCCTCAGAGACCAAGCTGCCTGATGTGGGCGGAGTCCTGGTTTGGGGGAGCCAATCAGCTCCTGTCTAGTAATCCTCTTTGTCTTTGTATTTTAGTCCATGGCCGGGAGATGAGGAAAACCTCCAAGGATTGTCTCACTTTGTCTCCAGACTGGAAAGTAGAAGATGAGGACATCACAGTATAGTCCAGGAGAAAACCCGGCTCCCTCCAATGTCCATCCGGCACCACCCAGTGTAGATGGACCATCGGATTCCTCGTATCCTGAGGAACCTCAGACTGTGCGGGACCGGGCCGGCCTTCCAACAGGGAAGAGGTTCTCCTGTCCTGAGTGTGGGAAATGTTTCCAATTTAAATCCAATCTTAATCAGCATATAAAATCTCACACGGGGGAGAAGTCGTATTCCTGCCCTGAGTGCGGGAAATGTTTCCAATATAAATCCCGTCTTAATGTGCATATAAGATGTCACACGGGAGAGAAGCCGTATTCCTGTCCTGAGTGCGGGAAATGTTTCCAATATAAATCCCGTCTTAATGTGCATATCAGATCTCACACGGGAGAGAAGCCGTATTCCTGTCCTGAGTGCGGGAAATGTTTCCAATATAAATTCCATCTTAATAGCATGAAAGAGCTCACATGGGAGAGAAGCCATTCCTGTCCTGAGTGCGGGAAATGTTTCCAATATAAATCCCGTCTTAATAAGCATGAAAGAGCTCACACGGGAGAGAGAAGCCGTATTCCTGTCCTGAGTGCGGGAAATGTTTCCAATATAAAATCCCGTCTTAATGTGCATATCAGATCTCACACGGGAGAGAAGCCGTATTCCTGTTCTGAGTGCGAGAAATGTTTCCAATATAAATCCAATCTTATTGAGCATATAAGATCTCACACGGGAGAGAAGCCGTATTCCTGTTCTGAGTGCGGGAAATGTTTTTCAAAGAAGTCCTATCATCACTCACATCAAAGATCTCACACGGGGGAGAAGCCGTATTCCTGTCCTGAGTGCGGGAAATGTTTTTCAAAGAAGTCCTATCATTCACTCGCATCAAAGATCTCACACGGGGGAGAGAGCCGTATTTCTGTCCTGAGTGCGGGAAATGTTTTTCACAGAAGTCCCATCTTCATCACATCAAAGATCTCACACGGGGGAGAAGCCGTATTCCTGTCTTGAGTGCGGAAAATGTTTCCAATATAAATCCAAACTTATTGAGCATATAAGATCTCACACGGGAGAGAAGCCGTATTCCTGTTCTGAGTGCGGGAAATGTTTTTCAAAGAAATCCTATCATCACTCACATCAAAGATCTCACACGGGGGAGAAGCCGTATTCCTGTCCTGAGTGCGGGAAATGTTTTTCAAAGAAGTCCTATCTTCACTCGCATCAAAGATCTCACACGGGGGAGAAGCCGTATTTGTCTTGAGTGCTGTCCTGAGTGCGGGAAATGTTTTTCAAAGAAGTCCTATCTTCACTCGCATCAAAGATCTCACACGGGGGAGAAGCCGTATTTCCTGTCCTGAGTGCGGGAAATGTTTTTCACAGAAGTCCCATCTTCACTCACATCAAAGATCTCACACGGGGGAGAAGCCGTATTCCTGTCTTGAGTGCGGAAAATGTTTCCAATATAAATCCAAACTTATTGAGCATATAAGATCTCACACGGGGAGAAGCCGTATTCCTGTTCTGAGTGCGGGAAATGTTTTGTAGAAAAATCAACACTTATCATACATCAGAGGTCTCACAGGGGGAGAAGCCACATTCCTGTCCTGAGTGTGGAAAATGTTTTTCAAAGAAGTCCTATCTTCACACATCAAAGATCTCACACGGGGGAGAAGCCGTATTCCTGTCCTGAGTGCGAGAAATGTTTTTCAACGAAGTCCAATCTTCACAAACATCAGAGATCTCACACGGGGGAGAAGCCATGTTCCTGTCCTGAGTGCGGGAAATGTTTTTCAGCGAAGTCCTCTCTTTACAAACATCAAAGATCTCACACGGGGAAGAAGCCGTATTCCTGTCCTGAGTGCGGGAAATGTTTCCAATATAAATCCGATCTTAATATGCATGAAAGATCTCACACGGGGGAGAAGCCGTATTCCTGTTCTGAGTGCGGGAATGTTTCCAATCGAAATCTAAACTTAATGTGCATATAAGATCTCACACGGGGGAGAAGCCGTATTCCTGTTCTGAGTGCGGGAAATGTTTCCAATCAAAATCTAAACTTAATGTGCATAAAAGATCTCACACGGGGGAGAAGCCGCATTCCTGTTCTGAGTGCGGGAAATGTTTCCAATCTAAATCTAAACTAAATGTGCATATAAGATCTCACACGGGGGAGAAGCCGTATTCCTGTTCTGAGTGCGGGAAATGTTTTGTAGAAAAATCAACTTATCAAACATCAGAGGTCTCACACAGGGGAGAAGCCATATTCCTGTCCTGAGTGCGGGAAATGTTTTGCAGGAAAATCAGCACTTATCATACATCAGATGTCTCACACAGGGGAGAAGCCACATTCCTGTCCTGAGTGTGGGAAATGTTTCCAATCTAAATCTCAACTTAATGTGCATAAAAGATCTCACACGGGGGAGAAGCCGTATTCCTGTTCTGAGTGCGGGAAATGTTTTGTAGCAAAATCAACACTTCTCATACATCACAGGTCTCACACGGGGAGAAGCCCATATTCCTGTCCTGACTGTGGGAAATGTTTTTCCTATAAGTTCTATCTTTCCAGACATCAGAGATCTCACACTGGAGAGAAGCCGTATTCCTGTCCTGAGTGCGGGAAATGTTTTTCACAGAATTCCTATCTTCACATGCATCAGAGGTCTCACACGGGGGATGCACATTTTTGTCCTGAGTGCGGGAAATGTTTCAATATAAATCTCAACTTAATGTGCATAAAAGATCTCACACGGGGGAGAAGCCGTATTCCTGTCCTGAGTGTGGGAAATGTTTTTCCTATAAGTTCTATCTTTCCACACATCAGAGATCTCACACGGGGGAGAAAGCCGTATTCCTGTCCTGAGTGCGGGAAATGTTTTCCAATATAAATCTCAACTTAATGTGCATAAAAGATCTCACACGGGGGAGAAGCCGTATTCCTGTCCTGAGTGCGGGAAATGTTTTTCCTATAAGTTCTATCTTTCCACACATCAGAGATCTCACACGGGGGAGAAGCCACTTTCCTGTCCTGAGTCCAGAGTGAGGGAAATGTTCCTCACTGAAGTCCTGTCTTCCTGTACATCAGGAATTATATCGTGGTAGACAGATCAGACCGGGGTCAGTCCTTATTGGGGGGCGGAATGGGGAAAGATGGGGGGAGGGCTATGGCAGATGGTAAGAAGGTTCCCATGTTACAAACAACCAGTGGAATTGGTACCATTTGTATGAAAATAAAAAAATACACAAAATCCGTGTGAACAAGGTGTCAGTGAATGAAGGTGTCAATGAATGAAGGAGGTATCAGTGAATGAAGGAAGTATCAGTGATTGGACAAGGTGTCAGTGAATGATGGAGGTGTCAGTGAATGAACAAGGTGTCAGTGAATGAAGGAGGTGTGTCAGTGAATGGAGGAGGTGTCAGTGAATGGAACAAGGTGTCAGTGAATGAAGGAGGTGTCAGTGAATGAAGGAGGTGTCAGTGAATGGAAGTGTTTTTTCCCCAATGCCAGAAGTCTGCCCAGCACAATAGGTGAGTTGGAAGGTTTGGTGAATGAAGAGAACTAGGATTGGATTGGTATTGCTGAATCTTGGCTTCATTCCTCACATGACTGGGCCATTCATATTCCTGGCTAGGTTCTCTTTCGGAGAGACGGGGAAATAGGAAAGGGGGTGGAGTCTGTCTGGAATAGGAAATGGGGTGGGGTCTGCCTGTAATAGGAAAGGGGGTGGAGTCAGTCTGTATTAGGAAAGGGGGTGGAGTCTGCCTGTAATAGGAAAGGGGGTGGAGTCTGTCTCTATGTGAGAAGTGATCTCAGCGAGTGTGAGAGGACCTAGTTGATGGAGGCTGAAGTATTATGTGTGATGTGTGATGAGGCTGAAGTATTATGGGTGGAGCTGCACTTGGGGGGCGGTACTACAAAGGTCATCATTGGAGTTTGTTATAGGCCTTCCAGTGTTAATGAGGAGGGGGAGACTCAGCTCCTCCCACAGATGGAAAGGGCGGGGACAATGATAATAATGGGGGATGGTAACTACCCGGAAACTGACTGGAGTATGGGACTGCAGGAACAGTTAAAGGGCAAAAATGTATAAACCTACTACAGGACAATTGTATGGTTCAGTTCATAGAGGCCCCAACTAGGAATGATGCTCTGCTGGACCTGTGTCATAGAGGCCCCAACTAGGAATGATGCTCTGCTGGACCTGTGTCATAGAGGCCCCAACTAGGAATCATGCTCTGCTGGACCTGTGTCATAGAGGCCCCAACTAGGAATGATGCTCTGCTGGACCTGTGTCATAGAGGCCCCAGCTAGGAATGATGCTCTGCTGGACCTGGTCATAGAGGCCCCAGCTAGGAATGATGCTCTGCTGGACCTGTGTCATAGAGGCCCCAACTAGGAATGATGCTCTGCTGGACCTGTGTCATAGAGGCCCCAGCTAAGAATGATGCTCTGCTGGGCCTGTGTCATAGAGGCCCCAACTAGCTGCTGGAATGATGTCATAGAGGCCCCCAGCTGGAATGACTCTGCTGGACCTGTGTCATAGAGGCCCCAACTAGGAATGATGCTCTGCTGGACCTGGTCATAGAGGCCCCAACTAGGAATGATGCTCTGCTGGACCTGACCTGCGTTATAGAGGCCCCAACTAGGAATGATGCTCTGCTGGACCTGACCTGCGTCATAGAGGCCCCAACTAGGAATGATGCTCTGCTGGACCTGTGTCATAGAGGCCCCAACTAGGAATGATGCTCTGCTGGACCTGTGTCATAGAGGCCCCAACTAGGAATGATGCTCTGCTGGACCTGTGTCATAGAGGCCCCAACTAGGAATGATGCTCTGCTGGACCTGTGTCATAGAGGCCCCAGCTAGGAATGATGCTCTGCTGGACCTGTGTCATAGAGGCCCCAGCTAGGAATGATGCTCTGCTGGACCTGTGTCATAGAGGCCCCAACTAGGAATGATGCTCTGCTGGACCTGTGTCATAGAGGCCCCAGCTAGGGATGCTCTGCTGGACCTGTGTCATAGAGGCCCCAACTAAGAATGATGCTCTGCTGGTCATAGAGGCCCCCCTGGTCATAGAGGCCCCAACTAGGAATGATGCTCTGCTGGACCTGTGTCATAGAGGCCCCAACTAGGAATGATGCTCTGCTGGACCTGGTCATAGAGGCCCCAACTAGGAATGATGCTCTGCTGGACCTGTGTCATAGAGGCCCCAACTAGGAATGATGCTCTGCTGGACCTGTGTCATAGAGGCCCCAACTAGGAATGATGCTCTTCTTGACCTGTGTCATAGAGGCCCCAACTAGGAATGATGCTGGACCTCTGCTGGACCTGTGCTCATAGAGGCCCCAGCTAGGAATCATGCTCTGCTGGACCTGTGTCATAGAGGCCCCAGCTAGGAATCATGCTCTGCTGGACCTGGTCATAGAGGCCCCAGCTAGGAATATGTCTGCTGGACCTGGTCATAGAGGCCCCAACTAGGAATGATGCTCTGCTGGACCTGTGTCATAGAGGCCCCAACTAGGAATCATGCTCTGCTGGACTTTGTCATAGAGGGCCACAGCTAGGAATGATGCTCTGCTGGACCTGGTCATAGAGGCCCCAGCTAGGAATGATGCTCTGCTGGACCTGTGTCATAGAGGCCCCAACTAGGAATGATGCTCTGCTGGACCTGTGTCATAGAGGCCCCAGCTAGGAATGATGCTCTGCTGGACCTGGTCATAGAGGCCCCCAGGAATGATGCTAGGAATGATGCTCTGCTGGACCTGTGTCATAGAGGCCCCAACTAGGAATCATGCTCTGCTGGACCTGTGTCATAGAGGCCCCAGCTAGGAATGCTCTCTGGGACCTGGTCATAGAGGCCCCAACTAGGAATGATGCTCTGCTGGACCTGTGTCATAGAGGCCCAACTAGGAATGATGCTCTGCTGGACCTGGTCATAGAGGCCCCAACTAGGAATGATGCTCTGCTGGACCTGTGCCATAGAGGCCCCAACTAGGAATCATGCTCTGCTGGACCTAGCCATAGAGGCCCCAACTAGGAATGATGCTCTGCTGGACCTGGTCATAGAGGCTCCAACTAGGAATGATGCTCTGCTGGACCTGGTCATAGAGGCCCCAACTAGGAATGATGCTCTGCTGGACCTGTGTCATAGAGGCCCCAACTAGGAATGATGCTCTGCTGGACCTGTGTCATAGAGGCCCCAACTAGGAATGATGCTCTTCTGGACTTGCGTCATAGAGGCCCCAACTAGGAATGATGCTCTGCTGGAGGAATGATGCTGGTCATAGAGGCCCCAACTAGGAATGATGCTCTGCTGGACCTGGTCATAGAGACCCCAACTAGGAATGATGCTCTGCTGGACCTGTGTCATAGAGGCCCCAACTAGGAATGATGCTCTGCTGGACCTGTGTCATAGAGGCCCCAACTAGAATGATGCTCTGCTGGACCTGGTCATAGAGACCCCAACTAGGAATGATGCTTTGCTGGACCTGTCATAGAGGCCCCAACTAGGAATGATGCTCTGCTGGACCTGGTCATAGAGGCCCCAACTAGGAATGATGCTCTGCTGGACCTGTGTCATAGAGGCCCCAACTAGGAATGATGCTCTGCTGGACCTGGTCATAGAGGCCCCAACTAGGAATGATGCTCTGCTGGACCTGGTCATAGAGGCCCCAACTAGGAATGATGCTCTGCTGGACCTGGTCATCTCCAACCATGCAGAGCTGCTTATTACGAATGTCCATATATAGAACATCTGGGTAGCCGTGACCATAACATGATTTCATTGTTAGCTGTAAACAGCGAGCACATACGGGGAAAAAAAAACGCTGAACTTTAAGAGAGCTAATTCTCCAAGGCTGAGATCTGCTCTCCAAGACTTAGACTGGGAGGAATATTGGCATGGATGAACACAACACAGAAATGGGAGTTCTTCACAAAGACTGTATGTGACCACACTGCAGAATATATCCCCGTGGGCACCAAGTATAAAAGGCTACAAATCCAAGCTCTGTGTCTTCCGGCCAAAGTGACAAAAGCCATAGATAAGAAGAAAAGAGCTTTTATTACAGATAACAATGAAGGAACGCCATCATCGTTTACACATTACAGAGAATAGAACAGAAGATGCAGAAAGGAAATAAAGGCACAAAAACTGAAACAAACTACAGAAAGATATCAGGACGACCCCAAAACATTCCTCCAATCTATGAATAGTAGAAAGGTCCGGTCCCAGCATGTAGGCCCTTTACAGAACCATCTAGGGGGGGGGACAAAGAGAAGGACAATGTATGACATCCCTTCTTCAGCTCTGTGTATACAAAGGAGCATGGGGGGGCTCTTGTCCATATTGGGCGTGGTACTGACACCCCCCACATCATCCACATTGGCTCACAATTGATACGATCAGAAATATTATAGAATAGAATAAAGGTGAATAAAGCCCGTGGACCGGATGGCATACACCCACGGGGCCTTACAGAATCCAGCTCTGTCATCTCACAGCCATTGTTTCTCATTTTTAGGGACTCTTTAATGACTGGCATAGTACCACGGGATTGGTGTAAGGCCAATGTGGGGCCAATATTTATAAAGGGGACAAAATCTTTCCCAAGTAATTATAGAGCTGTTAGTGTCACTTCTATAGTTGGGAAGATACTGGAGAGTTTAATAAAAGACCACAGAGAGGAGTTCTTGCTGGAAACAAATATTGTAAGCCACGGACAGCGTGGATTCATGAAAGACAGAAGTTGTCACACAAATCTGATTTCTTATTATTGAGAGGGGTGAGCAAAACCTTGGACAGAGGGGTGGTGATGGACGTGGTATACTTGGACAGAGGGTGGCGGTGGACGTGGTATACTTGGACAGGGGGAGGGGCGTGGTGGA